CCTGAAGATATTTTTTTCCCCATTGCTTTTTCAGAGGGATGGGAGGAAGGGAGGGGGAGAGTTAGAGACAGAAACATCGATGTGAGAGAGACATCGACTGGTTGCCCCACGTGCCCCAACTGGGACTGGGACTGGGGAGCAAATCAAAACCCAGGTACATACCCTTGACTGGGAATCTAACTCAAGACCCTGTAGTGCACAGGCCGACGCTCTAACCACTGAGCACACCAGCCAGGGTAGTCATTCATCCATTTAAAAAATATTTTTATTGATTTCAGGGAGGAAGGGAGTGGGAGAGATAGAAACATCAATGCTGAGAGAGAATCATTGATTGGCTGCTTCCTGCATGCCCCCTACTGGGGATCCAGCCTGCAACCCAGGCATGTGCCCTGACTGGGAATTGAACCCTGGCCTCTTGATTCATAGGTCGATGCTCAAGCAGTAGGCCACAGCAGCCAGACTCATCCATCCATTTTGCATTAATTTTTGTATATGGTATGAGGCAGGGGTCCAATTTCATTCTTTTGCACCCTCATCAAAAATCAACCAGCCAAAGACAATGAGCTTAACTGTGGACTCTCAATTCTATCCCTTTGGTCTATATGTCTATCTTGATGTTAGTGTCATACTCTTTTGATTACTGTAGCTTTGTAGTAAGGTTTGAGATGGAGAAATGTAAGTCCTCCATATATGGCTTTTTTTTTTTTCAAGACTATTTTGGCTATTTGGGTCCCCTTGCAATGCCATATAAATTTAATAATCAGTTTTTTCATTTCTGTAGAAAGTAAAAAAAAGGTGTTGGGATTTTGATAGGGACTGCTTCAATCTAGAGGTCTCTGAGGAGTACTGACATTTTAACAATACAGGGCGAGACAAGAGTAGGTTTACAATTGTTCATATGGAAAATAAGGCAATAACTAATGAAAAGTAATATAAGAACAAAGTCTTGTGTTTTGAGTACTCATGACTGTTAACCTACTTTTGCCCCACCGTGTATTGTCTTCCTATCCATAAACACAGGCTAGATTTCCATTCATTTAGATATACTTTAATTTCTCGCAGCAATTTTTGTAGCTTTTAGTGTACAAGTCTTCTCCTTGGTTAAATTTATTCTTTGAGAGTCTATTGTGAATGAAATTGCCTCAATTTCCCTTCCAGAATGTCAGTTGCTGTTTAGAAACACAACTGATTTTCGTGTGTTGATCTTGTACCCTACAACCTCGCTGAATTCATTTATTAGCTTTGGTAGCATTCTTGTAATTCTTTGGTATTATATACAGATGGTCTCTGACTTACGATGGTTAGATTTAGATGTTTTTGACTTTATGATGGCGTGAAAGTGACACCCCTTCAGGAGAAACTGTACTTCAAATTTTGAATTTGATCTTTTCTCAGGTTAGTGATATGCCCTACGATACTCCCTCCTGGTGCTGGGCAGGGGTGGCCAGCCACAGCTCCCGTTGACCACACGATCCCCAGGGTAAACAGCTGATGCAGTGCAGCGCTTTGCAACCAGGAGCCAGTTTTTAACACATGCAATGCCTCACTCTTTAGCCAGGGCACCAACTCTGTTCCATTAGATTGTCAAACAAAAAAATGACAGCAGCCAGCACAACAATAGCTGTCCAGGTGTGAATGCCTTGCATTGAACCATAAATATATAGATCATTTAATAAGAGTTGAATCTTATTGGACACATCACATAATAAGGCTGCGTCTGACTGGTTAATTCTTGGTACCAGAAATCCTTCTATACAAGTAGAGGCACCAGATTTTAAAAAAGGCCACTTTGGAGCAAAAAGCGTAATTACTATTATTATATGTATTTTTGTAAATCAATAAAAATTATACCCTTTTTTGTGTCAGATCGTCAAGAAATATGCTTTTTGGTGTGCTGCCGAATTTCAGTAATTACTTTATGTGCCGTGAGGTGAACAAGGTTGAAAATCGCTGCTGGAGGGCAGTGTCAAATGCATCTTCAACACACGATGGGTTTCTTGCCTCGTGAACCTGTGAGTCAGGGGGTAACTCTCTTCAGAACCAGGGGGAGAGAAGCCCACGGCTTTAACTCGGTGCCTGAACTCAGGGATGTCTACCTTTTACTAGAATTCCTTAGGGAAGTTTTCAGCTCGGTAGCTAGGACATGAAGCTCAATAATTCTCTTTGAAGTTGTTAGACTGGCAGACAGTACCAGACAGACCCCAGGTCACTAACTCTTTCTGAGGATGAGGCAACATGATAGAATGGGCCCAGCACTGGATTTTGGAGTTACAGGACCTGGACTTGAAGGACTGTGTGCTCGCTGATTAAGCATCAGAGGAATACACGTGAAAACTCTATCACGCTGCAGAAAGGACACAAGGGTGGGTTAACATGAACTGAGCCAATAGAAATGAACCCCAATATAATTACCTATGTCATGTGAATGGGAAGACAAAAATTCAGTCTCCCTATGGACTGGGAGTAAATGCCACAAAGCCAGCTTTAGCCGAACAGATTAATAGCTAAAGGGCTTGTTCTGTCCCACCTTCTCTCTTTACCTCTCGGTTCCTACCCCTTCCCCCCATATCCTCCCTTCAAGTCCTCTCCGCGTAATACACACATTCACAGCGTAAAGGAAACCTCCTGAGGACTCGGATTTTTAAATCTAAAGGAATGGATTACTTATTTATTTATTTGAAAAGGAATGGATTTCTAGAGCAAATTCCAGCTACCATGCCAGGCAGACCGGGAGGGCCTTTGAGAGCAGGAGCCCTTAGGAGGGGACCTACTGGACTTCCCGAAACAGACCGCTGTCTCCTGTGGGGCCAGGCCAACTTCTGAAGGATTTTACTTTGAAGCAGTGTTTCCCAGCACCCCGGACCCAAAGAAACGCTCCGAGACACTTTGTTGGTGAAGATTTTAAATTACAAGCTTGACCGGTCACCCTCCAATACAGTTCTGAAGGAAGAGTAGTTACAAGCAGTTGTCCGAACTTGCACATGGCAGGAAAGATCACATCAGGGTAAAGCTGGGTGAGTTTTCATGTGTGCGATCACAATGCTTTCACCACCAGATGGAATGACTCCACTTCATGCAATGAATGACTATCACGTGTTAAGCGGTGCCCTACTTGTTCCGGTCGCGATTTTCATGCCCATTTTAAGTCAAGACATCACCACACTGAGCTCCTGAGCTCGCCTCCCCCTCCCTGGGAAGCGTGAGGACACACCTGGTCCCTCTGAGACTCAACTGGACCCCCGAGGACCCAGGTGTCACCTCAGTCCTCTCTGCTCAGCGTCAAGGTTTCCAGGAAACCTTTGGTGTGGAGTAGAGGTCCTGGCGCCTCCAGGCAAATGAGACACTCGGGGTACGTAGGACTTCCATAGCGACTCAAAGGGGAGAGCAGGAGGAAGTTTTGATTTATCTTCACATAAAACATCAGAAATCAGACTCATCAAATTCTCATAACTAGGAACCAAGAGGGAGAAACGGAAGAGGGTTGTCCATGACGGGGGCGCCCCTCACGGCAGACTTGGTGAATGTCTTTTATAGAACCATCTAACATAGTACCGTTGACATTTACATATTTTACATACAGTTTGAATACAAATTCTTAAAATTTATAATAGAACATTAAAATAACCTTCTAATAAAATCAGCCTTAAGTATAAGGAATCTAAATTTCAGTATCTTGTATACTTCTAAATAAATATCTTTGATCTATAATCCTTGAAAATATTAGTTTATGGTGACATGAGACAGGTCAAACAGTATTATGAGTGAAAATCAAACATCAATTTAAAAAGAAACAAGCCTAAAAACATGAGACATTGAATTTATAGGAAATCAAAATACTAAGTACACAGTAATTAAATATCTACATTGGGAAAACCGAATGCATGCTCAAAAACACACTTTCATCACATATAAAAAGCCCTTCAAAATTCACATAATCTAAATAAATAAGCAGAACATGAAGGGGTACTGTACCAGCCAGTAACAACTAGGAAGTAACTTCTCCCTTTTTCTTTCACGTGATTCTGACAGAAAAACATGAAGTAATGATCACTCGCTAAAAAACTATAATTCATGTTCTGTTTCTTTTAAAATGCTGCCTATGTTATAAAAAGCCACAGCAAGGCTTCGTAAATGATAGACCTCAGAAAAGGAAATGCCGCGTAACTGACAGATTTAAACAAAATTCAGACATTTGCTTATTTAAGACATGATTGACTTTCTGCTTAATGACCCCATAAAAGGACTAACTCGAGCCTGTGACATGAATGCACGTTCTAACCTCTGGATGCATGACCTGCTAACACTGAGTTGTACGGTGATTTAATTTCATTTGCCAAAGTATCTTTTTAACACAAGGCCAGAATGCAAACCTCTAGGGCAGGAACTGGTATCTCATTATCTTTGTATTTCAGTTCTTAGACTCAGAACCTAATAGGTGCTCAGTAAGCGTTTGCTGAATTGAGTCCAGCATTCATCATACTCCACGAGGCCTCGAATCCATGCTGGAACGGCCTGCCTGAGACTCAGAGGGAGCTCTTGAATGTTACCTCCAGGTCTGTAGTTAATTCCTGGCTTGTTAATCAATTGCTGCAGATCTGTCACAGCTCCTCCTTCCAGGGCCAACATCTCTACATCTCCTCGGTTCCACAGTGAAACCTGCTCTAAAGATTTGTGCCTGCACATCTATAGTCAAGTTAAAAGAATAAAGGTCATTTTTTTGTTATTTTGCGTTGGGTATTTGCTCATGATTAACTGAAACACATGCACGCACCCACGCAAACACGCATGTGCACCCAACCATTCCACAAACGGAGACCAGAACGTGTCAATGACGCGCAAAGCCTTGCTTACACAGCGCTCCAGGCCAACTGAAAAAAGACATGGACACATCGGT